CATCCTTTGAATCTCCTTTCAGGAGGTGGAGATGATTCTCCTCTCCTTGAATGTGGGCTGAGCTCAGTGACTTGCTCCCCTCAAACAGGCAGCATGACTCCAAAGGTATAGCTTCTTGTCCGCCCCTCTGTCTTTGACCATCCACTGTGGCCCAAGCCACCTGTCATGTCTAGGGATTCCCAGGCAGCCTGAGACAGATACAGGTGGTAAGGAACTGAGGTCAGTAGCCCTGGAGCCGTCTTGGAGTGGATCTGCTGGGCTCAGTCAAACTGAGAGGTCTGGCCACTCCTAGCACTCAGAAATATAAGGCAGAGTATTTGCTGTTGCTAAGGATCCTGTCCCCACCTCTGGACCATGCAGAAAGGGAGCCCCAAGGTCAGGGTCTAGCTCCTGGTTAGCACTTCTTCCTGAGGCGAGGCAAGTCCAGCAGGGTGCAGGCAGGCTAAGTGCTACTCACCTTTCCGGGTGCGGCAGGTGGAGCAGCAGGTACACACTGTGGGAATGGGGTGGGGGGACTATCAGAGACAGCCCTCACCCAACAGAAACCAGGCCAGGCAAACAGGGAGGTCCCTGTGTAGGATGTGTAGGAATTCCCAGTGTGGGAACCCTAGGAGGAGGGTGATCAGCTCAGATTCGGCTGATCCACAAAGGCCAGGCCATGCATTCTGCAGTTCTTGGAGCTAGGGTGAAAGTTTCCTCTGGGAAATAACTATCTCCACCCCTGAACCTCTCCATCTAAACCTCCTCAGACTCATTTCTCAACCCCAATGTACTAGTGTCTAGGCATTTAGCAGAAGGCCTAGTTGACTACTGCCTTGAATATTCTATTAATCTTGATGCCCACCTGGGCCTTGGCACATAGTAGGTGCTCAATAAGTCCATGCTGACCAAGTGACTCCAAATCTGTAGAAGGCCAGCATTGTTTCAACTCCCTGTGTACCCTTCCTTCCTGTGGCTAATGCCAGCCATTCAGTGTGGTTTCCCCCCTCAGTTCACTCTGCAAGGAGGGCAATGCTAGTACGTACCTGCCCTGACCCTTTAAACAAGAAGGCAAACTCCAGACAGGTGAGGCCAGCTCTGGTGCATGACTCAGCCCCACCTTGGGCATTGAAAGTGGCTCAAGGAACTACACTACTCCATCTCTAGCACTCAGATGCTGTATCCTCCTCATGCCACATCCGTGGGCCTCTGTGTGCCAGACATGTGGCAGGCAAATGGAGGTCAGTTGGAGAGGGAGGCACAGAACCAGGGTCTGCATGCCAGGAGCTTGTAGGCAAAGAAACTGGGCTGGCACAACTTGTGTGTCTCCTTCCTCCTTTCTTTTCATTCCTTGAGATGCAGAGGGCTGAACAGACCTTCCTCCTTGGTGCTCAGCAAGCATCTTCCCTGCTTCTTGGGATCCACTGCATTGCTTTATTCAATGCCTCACTCCTTCTCCTTCGGGGAGCAGCAATTGCAATATCAGAATGTACCCTTTTGTTTAAATGTGCACTTACAAACCATATGTGCAAATGCAAAGGCCAGAGGCTGATGTCAATGTCTTCTCCGATCAGTACTCATGTTATTAATTTTTTTGAGACAGGGTCTCCCTGTAGCCTCAGTTGGCCTGGGACTCACTATATAGACCATGATGGCCTTGATCTCACAGAGTTCTGCCTGTCTCTGCCTCCCGAGTGCTGAGATTAGAAGTGCATGCTGCCATGCCTGGCCCTCCACATTATTTTTTGAGGCAGGATCTCTCACTAAACCTGGAGCTTGCTAAAACAGGTAGACTGGATAAGACCCCGAGATCCTGCTGTGGATCATCTCCCAGCAATGATATTATAGGCCTATGCTTCCGTGTCTGACTTTTTATGTGATTCTGGGCATCTAAACTCGGACCTCATGCTTGTATAGCTGGTATTTTACCAACTGAACCATGTTCCTAGCCTCTGCACAATACTTGTATTTTTATTTTATGTGAATTTTTACATAAAATCTCATTCTGGTTTGTACTGTTTTGTCCAGACATCCTGCTTTCAGGATCCACCTGGGTCCACTGAATCCATGGCTTCCAATGGCTGTGTAGACATGAGCTACAGCCACCACTCCTTACCTGTGCTCTCTCCCAAGCTGTCTTCAGCTCCTGACACCTGTCCAGGGTCTGCAAATGACTTCCTTTTCCTCTCTCCACTGTCCTAAGACATAAGCTGACTAGGGATGATGGGGACTTTTCCTCAAAGGAGAAAGCTGAAGAGAACTGGGTCTAGTTCTTATGTAAGATCAAATCCTCTGTTAGCCTTGGGTATTTTCTGAGAAATGTTCTGAAGCTGCCGTTATAGAGTAGAACCAAGTAGAGGAAGCAGGCTCACAGGAGCTAGCACAAATAAGTGTGATGACTGCCTCATGCTGTCTCCTTCCCTATGTGGTATTTTCTGCATCTACACAGGCCCAGTGCCACCTAGCCAGGATGGAAGCATGTGAAATGTCCTCTATAGGCTCATGTGCCTGAACACTCAGTCCCCAGCTAGTGGCACCGTTTTGGAAGGCTGTGGAGCCTTTAGGAGGGAGAGCCTTGCTGGAAGAAGTCAGTCACTGGGGGAGGGTCTTAAGCTTTGACAGCCAGGTCCCACTTCCTATCGCCTCTTGTTTCCTGACTGCTGACCCAGTGTGACCAGTGGCCTCAAACTCCAGCTACCCATCATGTGGACTATACCCTTAAATCATAAGGCCAAATAAACCCTTCCTCCCTTACATTGCTTCTTGTCAGGTATTTGGTACAGCAATGAGAAAAGTAACAGAAAACCACTTGACTCTCCTACTCCAGGCCTGGCCTCAAGGCCCACACTGTAGGCTGAGCTGGAAAGGACACAGCAGCCCCAGGTGACTGCGTTTCCTCTGCTAGGCTTCTTCCCTGGCACCTGACCCCTACTCACCTCAGGGACAATAGCCTCAGAGGCCCCAATATGGGTGCTTTTGCCCCATACTCCAAAACTAAGCCATCTCTTATCTGTCTTTCTGAGATGGCTTTTGCTTTAGGCCTAGAACAGATGGGGAGCGTGCCACAGGTTTCCTGACACACAATCACCCCACCCTCTCCATGGGCCAGTACTTTCACTCTGCTAAAGGGAAGTCTCCAGACTGACAGGGGATGTTGTTATCTCGGCCAGCACCAAAATCATTCCAAACGCTTTTCTACCTATTGCTGGCTGGAAGATGTTTAAGGCCTGGAAGATACTCCCATCATCTTTTTGACAGTGCCAACCTCCTCAACTTTCATTTTGTGCATCACCTGAATAATCTTCCAAGAGGAGGTCTGGGCAGAAGGCCTGAATTCTGGCCCTATGTGGCCTTGGCACAGTACATGATCTCTCTGAACTTGAGGACTCTGCTTGGTTCTCCTCTATAATGGCAAAATGGACTCTTACAGGGAAAGGGACTCATGGGCTGGCTAGCCCCACTTCCCAGCCAAAGCAGGAATTCCTGTCTAGAAGCCTGACTTTTCAACTTTGATGTGGGCCATTCCAATATCAGGGCTCTCTCCGTCTCACAGAGCAGCCCATTTCTCTCCTGGACACTTTCAGTATTACAAAATGCTTTCTTGGATGAGCTAAATAAATAATAACACGAATAATAGTAATTATTTACTACCTACTGACATCAGGCATGATCCTAAGTACTAAGACCAATAATAGTAATTATTTAGTTTCTACTGACACCAGGCATGATCCTTTACCTGACTTTTTCCAACTGAATCTTCCTAGCCAAGCTTCCCCCTCCCCAACCCTGCTCTGCTTCTAGAGTTAAAGCATCTCCTACAAAAAATCTACGATCTTCAAACCTAGTGGTAGTGCAAAGGGGGTGGTCGTAAGAGGAGAAGAAGCTTATGGATACCAAAGAGTGTTGATGAACAGAGTTGGGCATTTGGGCCTAAGAGTATTATTATACCCACAGTCCATTCACTAACCCTCAGTCAGGTGGGGTCTGTCAGGATCTGGGGCTCAGAGCCAAAGTGCCTGCAAGCTACATTTTTGCAGCACACAGTGAGAGTCCAGGTTTCCTGGAGGTCCTGGTTTGCATGTTTAAGGGTGGGACAGACACCAGGCACATACCACATATTCCCAAACAATGGCCTAACTTCTATTTCTGCTACAGTAAGTAAGGAAGGAGGGCCTTTACATCTCCTACCATCCACCTTTTGCTGTCAGCAACATTGCTCAGCCCCTGAATCCCAAGGTCACTGTCATCTCCCAAGGACTAGTTTGGGAAATTGTGAGTCTTGGCTTAGCTCTCTACTTCTAAGCTAATGTACTGAACCCAAAAGCTTGAAATCCACACCCATAGATAAATGCTGGATCTACACCTCAATCTGGATCTACACCACATCTGGGTCTCACCCTCTACTCACTGAGACCTCAGGAGACAGACCCAAGATTCTACATGTTAAACAGGGTTCCAGGTTAATTCCCATATGAGCAGTCTAATGCCAAGTGCTTAAAGGAGGTAGAGTTGTTGCAGCTTCTGGATGGTCCTGCCCTCTCCAGGATTTAGACCTCAAGTTTAGTATGGCCCTTGGTAGGTACAGGTTGGGGGTATGCATAGTGAGTGAGTAGTCAGAGATGAACAAGAGAGAGGGAGAGAAAGGATAGGAAATATTCAGGCAGAACACTCAGGAGCTCAAGATAACGAGGCCCTTGAATGTGGGATCAGAGAGAACAAAAGATCTCCCATGACCCATGTCCTGCTGTACCTGCTGCTTCAGACTTGGCACAAGCACTAGCACCCAACATCCTAACTCCTTAGACAATCAGATGGAGGACGAATAACTCTCTGATGCAGGTACCTAACCTGTCCAGGACTCACATAGTGTTCTGCTCCTCATCTGGCCTGATGGAATCTAACTAATGTCTCTGTTGGTAGCGGTCCATGGGACAAGGACCAGGCTGTGTACCATCCAGGACAGGACCTCTCAATGACAGTGAGGCTCAAGCATGACAAAGAGGGGAAGTGGAGATACCTACCTGAGCTGCTGGCACTCTCAGAAGCACTCCTGGACATCTTGGGCTGACCGTGTTTGCTGCTGGCCCGCCCCGGCCCTGGTGGAGGGGGACCTGAGGGAGCAGGGGTACCATCACCCCTGATGGTGGTAAGGTCCTGCATGCTGAAGCTCCGGAGCCTCTCCGACAAGGCACCCTGTCCCTAGACACAACACAGGAGGGCAAATGTCAGAGGCCTGACCATAGTAGGTTCGTGGACAATAATAGGGACAGATATGAACGTGACAAAGGCCAAGAGACCCTTGTTCTGAGGGTAGGCAAAGCATAAATAAGCCCTGGATTGCCTCTGGGGTCAGTAGGTGGTCCCCCTCTCCTTTAGAGAGGCTCCTTCTTTCCTTCAGACACCCCAAGGCAAGCTGTAGCTAGGATGTCTATTCTCTGCAGTCCTCCCTCTCCCACCCTGTGCTTTTTTGTTTGAAACAAGGTCTTATGTATCTGTCACTGGCCTTGAAATTACTATGTAGCAGAGGCCATCCTTGAACTCCCAAGAACCTCACCTCTCGATTATGGGCATGCAGCACCACACCAGGTTTATGTAGTGCTGGGGTCGAACCCAGGGTCTTATGCAAGGTTTTTAAGTGATACTTTATCAACTCAGCTACATCCCAGTCCCTACAGCCCCTACATTTTAGACATCATTGGCTGCCTCTGGCTTCCCACCAGTAAAAATCCATATATGGCCATGGTTTTCTCAGTTCTCAGTACACGAGAATCTGGTCAGAAAATCAAAACCTAATTCTATGCGCTCAGCCCTTCCTCCTTCCAAAGGCTATAAAATGCAGACAGTATTGTTTTAATGCATGACAACAGTCATCAGTATTGTTTTAATGCATGACAACAGTCATTTCTTTCATCCATGCAGCTGTTACTGTTTACAGGGCACATTTATTCACATCGGCACATTTGAGCTTCATAAAATACTCAAAAGGCAATGAATCAGGAAGGGGAAAATATTATTTAAAAAAAATCCCTGCTGTCGATGGTGGTAGCCACTTCATATCCTGAAGGAGTGGTGGAATGAATCTCAGTGTGGGTGTGTGGGTGGGTGTGTTCTTTTGTTTAGGGAAGAAAGATAAATGCATTATACGGATGAAAGGGCCAATCTTACCACTACTTCCCCTCAATCTGCAGAGGAGCCAAAGTGAAGGCTCCAGAATGCTGCTTAAGGTACATTCCAGGGTGAGACAGGCACTTGTTGTTTTTAGAATTTTGATTTTTATTTTTGTATTGTTTTACTTTTTGTTTATTTATTTTTCAAGAATATGATCCATATACATAGAGTGTTGATCAAATCTACTAAAGTCCTCCCCTAGCTGAGGCACTATTGGTAGTAATACTTCCTACTGCAGAAGAGGGTCAGTTTTCTTTTTAGAGATTTATTATTATTTAAAAAATTGTATCTGTGTATGTATGTGTATACTATGAGTATGAGTACCAATGGAGGTCAGAAGAGGGCATCAGATTTCTCATGGATCTGGAGTTACAGGCAGTTTAAGCTACCTGATGTGGGTGTTGGGAACCAAATGAGTCATCTGGAAGTATAGCAAGTGCTCTTAACCTATGCACCATCTCCCTAGCCAGACTTCTTCAGGGATATGATTGCTGGTAGGTTGCCCATGCTCCTGTGGATGGCCCATGCACATAATAGCAGCACTCAGTAGACTGAGTGAGTGGGTTGAAAAAAAAAAAGAGTGCATGTTGTTAGGTGAGACTTGTATTTGGGGCCAGTGAACCTAAGAGTGGGTTGGGAGGCCAGGAGGAGGCTGGAGTTACCGAGAATGGCATTGAGATTTGGAGCAAGCAACTACCAGGCAAAGCAATGAACTGGGTGTGAAACACTGGTGGCCGTGCAGCCTGTCCCCAAGTTTGGGAGCAGCAGGGAGAACTACAGAAAAGGGGATGGCAGGGTGGAGAAGCATCTTATTTAGTGAAGCAAAGAGTGGATCCCAGTTGGAGGACACGTAGATAATAGGGCAGAACAGATATAACAGAATCAGCAAATGAGCCAGAGTGGATGAGAGCAGCTAACATCACCAAGTAAGCAAGGGCCAAAGCATAGGGATAGAGGCTCTCAGGGTTGGGAGGAGGCTTCAGAGAGCGTCTCCACTTTATTTAATTAAAAATTAATAATGATCAAAATGGACCGACAAAGCACAGCAATTGCTGAAATGGAAGATCTAGATAGAGTAAAGGAGCAAAAGAGGGAGATATACAAAACAATAAAAAGCAAAACCACAAACAACAATGAAAGGAGTTAGGGAGGGGCAAGCAAAAGATACATTAAAATATAAAATAGGTAAGCTCCCAACCTACCAAAGGTATACACCCATATCTCTAGGGAACTAACAATGACAAGCAGGGTGTGGTGGCTTACACCTGCAAACCTGGCAACTTCAGAGGATGAGGTAGGAGGGTTGCCACAAATTTGAGGATAGCCTGTGCACCATAGTTCCAGGCCAACCTGGGGTACAGAGTAAGACCCCTTTTTTTTGGAGGGGGTCGTATTTTTGAGACAAGGTCTCCCTGTAGCCCCAGCTGGCTTGGAACTCACTATGTACACCAGGCTGGCCTTGAACTCACAGAGATCCGCCTGCCTCTGCCTCCCGAGTGCTGGGATTAAAGGCATGTGCCACCATGCCCAGTTTAAGACCCTGTTTTAAACAAAACAAAGCAATAAAATCACAAACCACAGAAAGAAAACTTTAAGTAACCAAACATCCACAGTTAGAATTATTAATTTATGTTATGTAAAAAAAGATAGTAATCACCCTGTGCCTCAGATAGCACTCTAGAATGATGGGGACAAGGGTCTGAGGCTTTATGTTCTAGAAATTAACAGCTGGGGAAATTACAGAGATGGTTCAGCAGGTTAAGGTGCTTGTTGCCAGGCCTAATAACCTGAGTTTGATCTTGGGGACCCACATGTTTAAAAGGAAGAACCAACTCCTGCAATGTCTTCTGACCTCCATGAGTGCACCCCCAAACACATACAATAAAAATAAAATTAAAAAAGAAATTAGTAGCTGAGGTCTTTGCCAAGAAAATAAGGGCTAAACCCTATTACATCACTTTCAAATCTAGAACCAGCTGTCCTGTGTTCATTTGATTGACAAACACTTTTCCCCCAATTTCCATGTGTGTGGTGTGCACACATGTGCACATACATGCATGCATGTGCGTGTAGAGGCCCAACTTAGATGTCAGGAATCATTTGCCATCATTCTTCCACCTTATTCCCTGAGGCACCATCTCTCAATCAAACTGAGATCTCTCCCATATGGCTAGGTTCACTAGCCAGCTTGCTCTGGGGAACCTTGTCTCTGTCTTCCAAGGCTAGACTTACAGGCAGGGACCCATGTCCACAAAGTATTTTATGTGGGTTCTGGGGATCTGAACTCTGGTCTTCATGCTTGTTCAATAAGTGCTTTAACCACTGAGCAATCGCTCCAGCCCCGACTGAGAAACATTTTGATATATTTATTCTTGCAGCTCTGGGAATCAAACCCAGTGCCTTATGTATACTAGGCAGGCAGTTTACCACTAGAGATCAGAATCTCGCAAAACAACAATTGATTCTGAAAAGAATAAGCAACTGTTCTGCTCATTATAATGGAGTTATCCAAGGTGATGCTAAAGATCAGGCAAATCACTCGCTGCTGCCTCTGCCATTCATCTCCCCATTTACTCATTTATTTGCTCCGCAATGATTTAGCAAGTATTTTCCTTGGGCAACACACTGCACTAGCTGTTATTAGGAAAGAGCAAGACTGCAGTTCAATTCCTGACAACATATAAAAAGATAAAGGCAGGCTGGTGAGATGGCTCAGTGGATAAGAACACTAGCTGCTTTTGCAAAGCATCTGGGTCCAGTTTCCAGTACCCACATGGTGGGTAACAGCCATCTGTAATTCCAATTCTAGGGGTTCGGACACTCTCTTCTGACTTCCGTGGGCATCATGACATGGGTGCAGTTACATACATGTAGGCAATACATTCATACACATAAAATAAAAATAGTAAATAAAATATTCAAAATTAAAAAAGAAGATAAATACAAGTTGGAAACTAAGTGGAAGTTACAGAATGTGAAGAGGAAGAAAGTTGGAACAGTGAAACTTGAAACAGCATTCCACTCCTGTCAGTTAGTGGCAGGAGACCTTAACCTCTGTATCTCATCACCTCCTGTGCAGAATAGCATCCTCCTGCCAGGGTGCTGACAAGTATTATGTGCAGTGGTGTTATGGCCTTAAGATATCCACTGCGGAGCATGATGCAGAGGTAAATATAAGAATACCAACTAAGATGATTGTTGCTGCTGCCCAACACACTTAAGTTGCTGTTGAAACCAGAGAAGGACAAGGTCACTTCTAGCCTGGAGGACCAGGAGGAGCTTCATGAGCAGAAGTCCAAATGAATGGCCAGGGAGTAATTCCATCTTCCAGTTCTTGTAAACGCTGTATAACGTGTCTGAGAGAAAACAGCAGCAGGCAATGTACGTGTTTATTTCAGCAAAGGGGTCAGTTGCACTCCCAGAGGCCCAGCCAGTGTACTCCAATATCACTAGCATCAGGAAGATTGGAAGTGGTGGGCGTTAGGAAAGAGGACGTAATAATAGCACAGGACTAGTCTATCCCTGTGCGAAAGGAAATCACAGTGGGTGGAAACAAGAGTCCTGAAAACAAAGCAGCGCTTACCCATCAAAACAGCTGGAGATACTGAAAAGCAATATGCCTCTCTCCTTTGTAAGCCTCGTAGCCCTGCTTAGTCTCCTCAAAATCGCATTCTTATTTACCTTCCACATACCCATCCACCTTGCCTACCTTAGCTCAGCTTAGGAAAACTTTCACCTTGTTATTAGGAGCCATCATCTTCTGGAACAACCAAGAATTATCCACTCTGCTAATTACTTAGGGAAAGTAATTTTGGATTCTCTGAGTTTGAAGAGCTTACCTGTAACTTGATGAACACATTATTATATTAAAAATAAATAAAAAAAATAAAATCAGCTTCTAAAAAAAAAATCTCTGCGGAGGGGCAGGGTAGACAGCTTGTGGTTAAAGCACTTGCTGCACAAGTGTGAGGACCCCCAGCATCCCCAGAATCCATGTAAATATCCATGTAAATGCCAGGTGGACCAGGTGG